TGCTGCTAACTAGATGTGTGAACTTGTTCGGTCCCTGTCCCTCTCTGGGTCTCAATTTGCTCATCTTTAAAATGAGAATGCTAGACTAAGTTATTTCTAGTCTGAAGTCCCTTCTTGCACTAACAACCCTTGAACCTTCTACAAGGAGAGAGAACTTTGAAGGAAGAGGAAGTATGGCTAAGTGGTACAGTAGAGAGAGTGGTGGGCCTGGAGTCAGGGAGACCTGAGTTCAAATATGATATGACTCAGGTCATTTTCTAATTTGTATGTGCATATATGGGGCAGCTAAGTGGTGCAGTGCTAGGCCTGGAGTTAGGAAGACTCATCTTTGTGAGTTCAAATCCAGTCTCAGCCATTTGCTACCTGTGTGACTCCAGAATCTGTGATTCTGGGCCAGTCACTTAAACCTCTTTTTGCCTCAGTTTCCTCAACTATAAAATGAGGATAATAATCTGCCTCCCAGCATTGTTGTGAGGATCAATTGAGATAACAGTTGCAAAGCACTTAGCACAAACGCTGGCACGTTGTAAGTACTATATAAATGTTGTTCTTTGTTCAGTTGTATCCGACTCTTTGTGCCCCCATGGACTGGTCCATGGGGCTTGGCAAAGATCCTGGAGTGGTTTGCCATTTTCTTCTCCAGTGTGCCCCCATTTTACAGATGAAGAACTAAGGCAAATAGGGGTTAGGTGACTTGCTCAGGGTCACACAGTTAGTAAGTGTCTGAGGCCAGATTTGAACTTAGGTCTTTCTGATTTCAAGTTCAGTGCTCTATCCACTGTGCCACCTAGCTATTATTAAATATGGGATATATCAAGAAGGGAATTTGTATAGTTCCAGTGAAACAGAGCAGAATGAATACAAGGATTGCACTTGCTATGCTCCACTTTTAAAAATATCATATAAAAATAATTGAGTCTTCTCCCTTTTGATTCTAAAGGACATTCTAAAAATATCTCTTTAATACATTAATCATGTAATATTGTGAATTATATTTATTATGTTTACTGCATTTGTGTCTTATCCTCACTGGTCTATAAACTGCATAAGGGAAAATACCAAGTTTTAGCTAAATTCTCCCTCTTTCCCAGAACAGTGCTCCAAACATAGGAGGTATTTAGTAAATGTGTGCTTTTATTGCTGTTTCTTCTGGCTACAAATTCTTTATAATTACTATGAACATTTCTGTGCAGAAAGTATTCCTGCTGTTCCCTTTTACTGGATACTGACTATAGAACCAGTGATATGTAAGACTCCTACAGGCAGCATGGCACGTCAAAAAGAACCTTGGACTTGGCATAAAGAGAGACATGAGTTCTACTCCTGTCTGCCACACTTGCTAGCTATGTGTCTATGGACATATGACTAAAGGTTCCTCTGAGCCTCTGAGCCATTTGTGAGATGGGAATAACACTTATAGTACTTATTGAATGGGGTTGTCATCAGGATCAAGGGAGGTAATTTACTCAAAAGACTTCAAGTGCTATATAGATGACAGCTTTTATAATTGGATGAAAAGAATAATAATTACCTGTGTCTCATAAATATATCGTTTGAGTTCATCCAGAGCAGGGATATTTGCATGGTCCATCTTCATGATATAGCAGGCTCTTCGAGAGAGTAGTCTGGAAGCAACATAACCCTAGGGGTAGATAAGAACTGAATTATTGCCTGTTACTAGTGTTCTTTGAGACTCAGAGAAAGCTGACTTGTGAACACAAATGTAACTAGGGATGGGGAGAATGAGGCCTTGTCCCTAGATGCCAAAATTTAAAGAGCACTGCCTACACTTGCTGACCTTCAGCCATGGAGAAATATCTGAGTTTAGCACCCGGTTAGCAAGAATAGCTCATTTAAAAGGGAAATTTCCGTGTGTCTGCCTCCTTTCATGGTGGCTTTCCGAACAGCCACCTTGTGGATTTCTCAGGGTTTCCATTACCACTGTCCCCCCAACCATATTGAGGCTGTGTTTTGTGTTTCTTGCCCAAGTACATTTGAAGCCCTTGCTCTGGGTGCATGACTTACATGTTTGTAGTCAAATACAGTGGTGGAAGAGCATTTTCCCTCGTGGACGTTGATGATGGCAACATTTTTCTCATTTTCAATTTGCACCGTTTCCTGGACTGAGACACCATTATTGGTAGGACTCATGTAGTTAATGATCTGGATTTCAAATACAAAAAAATTATACATACTGTCTTTGTACTATAAATTTTTGAAGGGAGTAGAGAAGGGAATGTAAAACAGGAACAATTAACCAAAACATCAACCTGCTATGAGCATGGAATGGACCCCTGAGGACTATTTCATAGTCAGACCAGGCCAATTTAAAAGTAGGAAGAGAAGGAAACATAGCAATTGCAACCACTTTCTGGTCATTTTCTAATTTGTATGCACATATCCATGGGGCAGCAGGTGGTACAGTGGATACAGTGCTGGGCCTGGAGTCAGGAAGACTTCCTTAGTTCAAGTCCAGTCTCAGACATTTACTAGCTGTGAGACCCTAGACAAGTCACTTAATCCTGTTTGCCTCAGTTTCCTCACCTGTAAAATGAGTTGGAGAAGGAAATGGTAAACCACTCTAGTACCTTTGCAAAGAAAACCCCAAAGGGGTCACGAAGATTTGGTCATGACTGAAATGACTGGACGACAACAACAAGAGACTAGATGACCTTGAAAGTCCCTTCAAGTTTTGAATAGGATCAAAGGGGTCAATTGATTTAGACTAGAGTCACTCTAGATCATACAAGCCCTTCATTTTACAGATGAGGAATCTGAGGCCCAGGGAAGTTACATAGGTCCCATAGGTATTAAGCATAAGAGGTGGAGCGTGACCAGGTTCTCTGAATCCAAAGTTGGTGTATATTTCATTATTCCAAATAGATGATACTTCTAGCTCTAAAGCCCTGAGATACTATTAATAGACTTTTAGCGGGCCAATAAGTGGGACCATTCCGACACCTCTTTCTGGTTTGTCAATACTCCAAGTACACCAAGGATCCAGATTCATGTCCTAGTTTGGTACTTGCCTCCATCATAGAAACTTCCTCCATCAATGCTGAGGGTGATGGAGTTGCCTCAGGCATACTGAGATTAGGTGAATTGCTCATATTCATACTGTTACTAAGCATTTCAGGCAGCATTAAAGCCAGATCTTGTCCCTGGAAATCCAATATTATGTCTACTCATTGCTATCTGCTGGCACGGCCTCTGTTATTTTTCACCCTTGTATCTAGCAAGTGCCAAGCACGGTATCTTATACCTAGTTGGTACCTGATAATGAGTCAAAATGAGTATGGAATTGTTTCACAAAGGACAAGCTCTGCTCAGAAAGGCGCTGAAGCATAATCTGACCTGGATTTCTCTTTCTTATGAGTTTAGTGGGTCTCACTTTTTAGGGGAAAGTAAAACTTTTACTAATAATTGGCTACTAATTTTTTTTTTGCTACTAAATTTTGAAATGAGAAAGTTTTCCATCAGCTAATGACCGGGGATCATGATAAAATTTAAATACTTATCTCTAGCAAAGGCTAGGACTAGAGAAGTTTGGGAATATTGCTTTCAATGGTAGAAGAGGTTTGGAGTAGAAGTATAGGAATACTAGTAGCAATAGCTCCTGTTTATAGGCTGTTTTCCTCCACTGAAGTCCTTTTCTGATTCTCCCTGTGGAGCTGACCATCAGAGTATGTCCCATCAGAGCATGGGACAGGTCCAAACTCCAAGCTGGAAAGCCTTCAGGTATCAGCTTGGTGATGAACAGTACATCTGCATTAGGAGATATGAAAACCCCCTCCTGGCTTACCGTAAGACTTAATAAAATTCAAATCTCACCTTCTGTCAGAGGTGTTTCCTGATCTTTCTTTCCCTCCATGCCTTCCACCCGAGATTATTGTTGTTGAATTGTTTCAGTGATGTCCAACTCTTCATGTCCCTATTTGGAGTTTTCTTGGCAAAGATACTGGAGTGGTTTGCCATTACTTTCTCCAGCTCATTTTACAGATGAGCAAATTCAGGCAAACAGGGTTAAGTGACTTGCCCAGGGTCACACAACAGGCCGAATTTGAACTCGGGAAGATGAATCTTCCTGATTCCAAGCCCAGCATTCTATCCACTGTGCCACCTAGCTGCCCTTCCACCTGAGATTACTTTCCATCTACTCTGTATTTGTCTTGTGTGTTCATAGTTACTTACACATTGTCTCCCTCATTAGACTATAAGCCCCTTGTGGGCAGGGACCACATCTTTGCTTTTCATTATAGCCCTAGTGCTTAGTACAGTGCCTGACACATAATAAGGACTTAATAAATGCTTATTGACAGACTAGTCCAACTAAATTTAAAGAGGTTAATATCTAGGTTGGCTTCTCCATCTCCATCCATTGGAATCCCTAGCACCTTTGGGTGTCACCGCAAGACCACCTCCTCTAAGAAGTGTTTCCTAATTCCCCACTTGTTAGTCCCATTCTCCTAATGAATTTCTATTTATTTTGTGTCTACTCATAGATGTACATGTTGTTTCTCTCCAGCAGAATAGAACCTCTTTGCATGCAAGGACTGTTTAATTTTTGTCTTTGTGTCTTCAGCACCCGGTCCATAACTAGCTATCAAACATGCTTTTTGACTGAACTGAAGTGAAGTGTATTAGCATTAAGAATGGCCAGTTTACCCACCTCATATCCGAGTGCTCTAGTGCAGAAGATTGTTAGCACTGCTAGAAGGAACACCTGAAAACAAATGAGCCACATTTATTTTTGGCAGAAGTCACAGATACTTTCACAAAATCCATCAGTTCCGGGCCAGGGTGGAGTCCTCAGACACTAAGGCCCAAAAATAGCATTGTGCTCACACAGATGTTCCAGGGACCTCTCCTCCTTTTTCTGAAGGAGATACAGGAGGCATTATGTGCTAGGTGAGTCAAACCACGACTGACTTGACCTCCACGTCCCCTCAGACTTAAATGGAGACAGCCTGGGACCTGGAACCCAAGAGCCTTTGGAATAGCAATGCTTCCACCCCAACGTCTTTGACCATCATCTTGGAGAGCCACCCCTGTGGGGATGCAGTCTGGCCACTGCTCCTGCAGGTGCCACAGTCACAATACCGAAAGTCCTTGTCAAGCAAAGTCTTTGACACTGTCAAACGGTTTTGGTCTTATCAGTGGAAATGCTGGTAAAGAAGGAACATTGAGATTTGCTTTGATCCTGTTCCTTAAGGACCATGGAACCTTGCAAAGAAACCTCCCAGGTATGTTATCTCCCCCATTAGAACGTGACCACCTTAAGAAAGGGCCAGTCTTACATTTGTCTCTCCAGTATTTGGCACAGTGTTTTATACACAGCGAGTGCTTAATAAATGCTTCATTCATTCATTCTCAGCCTTGCTAGAGAGGGCAGCATTTTCTCTTGGCACATTTCCCATTTGAGCTTTCTACTTTGACTTTATCAAAGGGTAAGTAAGTGGGAGGAAGAGAGAACTTACTTCCGTGTTATAGATTAAGTCTGTTGTGTCAGCTTCTTACTTGTACTAACCAGAATATAAGGATAAGCACAGAGTCAGACCTATGGTCCATCTAGTCCATGAGTCTGTCTTTGACAGATCCATCACGGATAGATTCCTCTTCTGAATGTCCATTTCAAAGGTTATAGGGATGTTCTGCAAGTGCCTCAGTTTTTCCACTTTTACTCTGTTATCTGAATTCACTTAAATCTTTTTTTTTTCCAAATTCATTTATCTTTAGTCTTTCCCTGGCAAGAGGTAATATGTTGTAGTGTTAAAAGGACCTGCATTCAAGACCTTACTCTGACATATAACTTTTCAGGGGCCTCAGTCAATTCTCTTAAGACTAAGTGGCAGAGGAATAATTCCTGACTTGCCTGGAGGTTGGGGAGTGGAGAGTTTCATATCAGGAAGACCCCCCCCCCAGCAGGGTGCAATGGAAAGAACTATGACTTTGGAGTCAGAGAATCTGGGTTCAAATCCTAGCTCTGCTAAGATTCTAACTGTGTGACTTTGGGGAAGTAATTTCACCTCTCTGAACCTCCATTTTCTTACCTGTAAAATGAAGGGATCTGAAGAATAAGAATAGCTAGAATTTCTGTTGCAATTAAGATTCACAAAACACTGTACACATTATCTCATTTGATCCTCAAAACAAGCCTGTGAGGTAGGTTTTATTACTATTATTCCCATTTTACAGTTGGGTAGCTGAGGCTGGAAGGGGGTTAAATGACTTATCAGGAGCCACATAGCTAGTAAGTGTCTGAGGCAGCATTTGAACTCGGGTCTTTCTGGCCCTGAGTTCAGGATTTTGTGCATTATACCACATTACTAAGTGAACTCTGAGTTCTTTTCCAGTTCTAAATCTATGATCCTGTAAGATATCTGCATTCACAGATTCAGATTGAACCCCTATGCCCACCACTACCACCAAAAAAAAAAAAAGATTGTTGTTTCAAGGGACATGGTTTAATCTATGAAATATACAAATCCATGTAATAAGAAGCTGTGTTATGACATCATTTTACTCTAATAAAACCTGCCATAATTTGCTAATGGCCTGCCCAGTACTTATCCCTCACAGTGTAAGTGATCCCCACCTTCCCTCCATACACCAAATCTCCAAGTTGACAGGGCAATAGTTTCTATTATTTTCCTGAAACCAAGACTGAATTTACAATGGTAGACAGACTAATGTGGTGGGGAGAGAGGGGTGGTGGTACTGGTGGGAATCTTGATTTCTTGGGTGGATCTTTGATTTCATCAATTTGGATGTTCCCTCCGATTTTGGAGATTTCAGGTCACTCATGCCGGCCCATCTAGTATAATTCTTTTCCATGACCTCCTTAAAGTTTGCCACAGGATGGTCATATGAAGCTCTGGAGGCCCTTCTCACTTTCTCCTGATATTGCAAGGGTACCAGTGAGGCCTTGTTATCCACCTGTCACTTCTTGCTGTTGCTATGTGACTAGCTCAGCTTTCAATATATACTGGTGCAGTCCAGAGGAGAGACGTAGAGGAAAGGAGAAATACCATGGGTACCTCTGTGTGTGTATGTTTATAGTATTCAAGAGGGGAAAAAGGCAGTACTGGGCTATCAGAGGATATTAAAAAAACCCAAACTTTTCCTGCTTTACAAATTTCCATTTTGTTATACCATCTGAGACTTTCTTTTGTGTGTTTCTTTTAGATCATCTGTTTCACTGAAATTTCTAAACCCTCCCTTCCCACCAAAAAAAATCACAAAAAAGAAATTGTGGTGTATAAGAAAATAATTTTTTTCAAAAATCATCTCAAATGTTTTCCCAAATATCCCTTTCTATTTGGTCTTTTTGGGTAGGATTTTCAAATATAACAAAATACTAATAAAAGGTCACAGATAGACTTTGAAAGCTGTAAGAGACCTCAGTAACCATTTGGTAGAACCCATACATGAAAGGAATCCTCACCACAATATACCAGGCAAATGGTCATCCAGCCTCTGCTTGAGGATCTCAAAGATTGGGAACTTGTTCCTCTAGCAGGAACCCCTTTCCTCCGCCCTACCCCTACCACTTTTAGACAGCTTAATTGTTAAGAAGTTTTTTTTTTTTTATATAGAGCCTAAATTTTCCTCTTTGCTCTTGGTTCTGACTTCTGGAGCCAGAGAGAACCAATCTAATACCTCTTCTACATATATTTCTCTTCCAAATACTTTAAAACAGTTGTCCCGTCCCCCTACTTCAGCTGGACGTCTAACATTATAATGTCACAGAGATCAATCCACTGTGATGCTCAAATTCAAAATGTTTCTTTTGGAGTCATCCAAGTGTTCAACCTAAAATCTACCATTGTGTTCCCCAACAGTTTGGGTGAGGGTTAGACGGGATCACTTCTGAGTTCCCTTTCAACCCTTTGAGGTTTCTGACCATTTTTAGAAGAGTTCAAAGCAGTGTTAATACTCACATGAGTCCTCATCTTGGCTGCGGGGAACTTCTGAGACTGGCGGAATCTCAACTGTCCTGACTTCTGCCCATTTTATTGACCTGGAGGTGTAGGGAGTTCCTAACAGAGCTATCTCTTTGACATGCCACAGCAAACGTCTTTATCTCGGGAGTAGGACCCAGAACATGCCATGATATGGCAGAGAGGAATTAGTCACCCTCCCTTCACCACTGTAAATATTACAGGCTTATCAGTGCTCCACCTTCTAAGAGAAATCAGTGTACACCCTTGGCTTCTTCTAATCTTTTCATTTTATTTTGTTCATTGTGTAGGGTGATTATATAAAAGCCTAAGAATTTCCTTCTGCAGCTGTAGAATGCAAGCCCCAAAGGATTGTAGAGACCACCTAATCCGAAGTGACTTGCCCAAGATCACATTCAGCTCATAACTCTGTGATCTTGGGCAAATTATCTCATCTCTGAGGTGATCTCTCTGTCTCCTTTTAGATTACGATCCAAGTATTTCCAAGCTAGCACTTGAACCCAGGTCTTTCAGCACCCACTTTAGGGCCCCAAACTGTTGGGGAGCACAATGGTAGATTTTAGGTTAAACACTTGGATGACTCCAAAAGAAGCATTTTGAATTTTAGCATCACAGTGGATTGAACTCTGTGGCATTATAATGTTAGAAGTCCAGCTGAAGTAGGGGAACGTGACAACTGTTTTCAAGTATTTGAAAGAGAAATATATGTAGAACAGGTATTAGATTGGTTCTCTCTGGCTCCAGAAGTCAGAACCAAGAGCAAAGAGGAAAATTTAGGCTCTATATTAAAAAAAAAAAACAACTTCTTAACAATTAAGCCATCTAAAAGTGGTAGGGGTAGGGTGGAGGAAAAAGTTCCCAATCTTTGAGATCTTCAAGAAGAGGCTGGATGACCATTTGCCTGGTATATTATGGTGGGGGATTCCTTTCATGTATGGGTTCTACCAAATGGTTACTGAGGTCTCTTACAGCTTTCAAAGTCTATCTGTGACCTTTTATTAGTATTTTGTTATGTACCACATTGTCTTGAATTGTGCTAGAACCACAGAATTTGGAACCAGAAGGAACCTTAAATGTCATCTCTTCTTGCCCTCTCAATTTATGGATGAAGAAACTAAGGAACAGAAGGAGGTCACTTATCCTAGGTTGCATAAGTTGGAATAAGCAGAGATGGGATTTGCATCCAGGTCCTTCTACTTCAAATACAGCACTGTCCCCACTGAACCCCGTGCTGCCCCACTTGTAGTCAAAAAGGTCAGAGAATTTCTTCTGCTATCTGTTTCTTTTTCTGAGCACAGGTCGGAGACTAGTGATCCTGAGGATGGATTTTTCCAACCTGAGGTTAAGAGTCAGGTATTGGCCTTTCGAAGGGAGAAGACATCAATAGGTTATTTCTTGAAAAAAGATGCTTTCTGTGTGTACCTGTAAACACGCATATAATACACACATTGTATACATGTATGTTTTATATATACACATTATATACACATATGTGTTATAACTTGATGAGGCTTATGTAACAGACTTTCAGCAAATCACAACAGTAATTATGAGCAAGGTATTAAATGTCATTTTAGTCAGTCTACCATTCACCAAGGGTGGGGAAACTGCAGCCTTGAGGCCACTCCTGAATGGACTATTCATACCTGACTTGTGATAAAGCCTTCTGAGCTCACATTGGTCTGATCAGCTAGAGTTGGGCACACTGTGCCTTGACCCCAACATAGTGATCTCACTTTGGTCCTCTTTGAGAACTGAGGATAATAAGCATTCCCAGCTTGCTACTTTAGAGACTGAGAAATATTCCCCTTTAGTAAGATCCAGGATACTCTCAATTGGTTGAGCTGAGTTATGTCCCTCCCAATGGGACAGCTTCTTCACTCTGTGTTATTTGGTACATATTCTCCCACATATACCTTCTCTGATTTCTGTTTTGCTACAATTTGGATAAAAAGGCTTCTTTGCTGTTCTCTATGTGTATTAATTGTGAAATTGGTATTAGATGGGAAAGAAATCAAGTCTTAGATATAGAGCTTGCCTCCTAAAATGACAAAGCAACCAAAAGATGGAACCTGATCATGTCCCCTAGACTAATAATGTTTATGGGAGCAGATGGATATAATTTTAGTCTGGTATCTTCCTCTCCCTTCGAGGAGAGCAAAGTGGTGGCCGCTGGCCCCAACCTCTTGCTTCCCTTCCTGGCAGGAATGAAAGTCTCCCTTGCAAAAGAGTTGGGCAGAAGAAGCTAGAGATGTCTGTCCTGCCTCTCTTTGAGCTATAAA